TATTACTGCAATGATGCATAATCTGTTCAATAGATTTCTTCGGAGACGAGTGACCGCCAATTTTGTGGATCCAACTGTTTGTTGTTTTCAATGTGTTAATATGACGTCATTCTGATGAATAATTTCTCACTCAGAGACGTATTAATATTTTCCAGACTCATCGCGAATAAACTTAGAATCAGATTTTTCGAAGAATTCTTCAAAGTCGATCCTCCTTAATTAAGGATTCGCGAAAATTCGGACACTTCGTTATCCCGCCTGGAAATGACACGCGATGATGTATTTCCTCGGTTTCGAAACTTCAGCTGCGAGAACCGAGAGTTGCCTTAATTAGTGATGCCGAAATTAAGCGCATTGTTGCAGCGCCGAAAGGAGCGCGAAGGGTAGCTTACGTAACGTGCGGCAACAGAAATCCATTAAATCCGCATCTTGCTGCGAATGTATACTGCTTACCCGACAAATAACGCATCGTGCATTTCAGCAAGGCAAGCTGTATTTCGCGTATTTACTATCGTTAACGTGGCAATTGTTACGTAACGTTCCGGGAGTATTCATCGCGGAAATCGAACCTCAACAATTCGCGAAACGAACGGGAATACGCGGGGATTAAGAGTCATTGCGCAAAATCGCGCTCGCACTTTGTATCGACGGCGTAACTACGGTCTCTTTTCCTCTCCCCGATGTTGCGTGCACATGTGTGAGTGCTGTTTCTTTTACGGTAATGCGAAGTACGAAATTCGCTCGAAACACGCGAACGTGAATGATGTGTTCCCGAGGTGCTTCTAAAATTAATATCCAACTGGAACTGACGATCGCGCGGTTAAAAAGGCAAATTTTAGCACTTTCGTGATTGTTACTCACCGTTCGGCAGGCGAGCGGTAAAAAGGGATTATTAATAGCGCAATTGCAGGGTTCTCCCCGAGTGTAATCTTGCGGTCAATATACACATTCACAATCGCAAGCCGATCATGGGCAAGCCGCGGATGCTAGCGAATAGTAGCGCGTGCGTAAGACCAGAGCATAACGGTGCAATTAGAATGCCGGCGAAAAGCGATCGAATTTTGGTGGTGATCTGCTTGCCCGAAGGGCAGGTATTCATGATTAAACATTCTGCGCGCATTGTAAGCGCTGCATTGTAAGCGCTGCATTGTAGAACGCGGTTCTGTACATGGCTGTAATGGCGCCGCAAAATTGGACTAAGCATTTGCACGAGTGAGCGCTGCGTCGCTTTACGATGTAAACGATGAACTTTTAACTATCATTTAAATCTGATATGAGTCCCCAATGGACACGAGGAGACCTTTGTCGCCTGAATTGCTCGTTATACAATGGTGATATCGGAGACGACGCAATCGAGATAATCTCTTCACAGCGTTGAGTAAACGGAGACTGCTCTTGATAATCATAAAATAAAACAAAAAATACCGAATTACACCGGAATTCTCTAGCATTAATTCCGGGAAGGAATGTATTGAATTAAAATAAAATCCAAATGTGCATAAATATCCGGGACAAAATTCAGAATGGATTTAAAATAAATTTTCTCCCGCAGAAAAAAAACGCGCGTTCCTGCCTCACGTGTCAGCGCGGAAAAAATGCATAAATATACATACCTTTCGCCAGATGACTTACGCCGCATGGCGAGCATTTCGTGCTCGTAAAACGCGGCAATACGAAAATGTTGGAGAGCGTGCTTTATCGCGACGTGCGCGTCGCTCTCAAAGAAATTTTAGCTTACACGCCCGATGCTTGCGCTGCTCGGTGTGGGCAAAACGCGATCGCCTGAAATAACTTTTTGCCCATTAACCGACACCCGCCGCGACCGCGTTTGAGGAAGAAGTGCGTCGTTAAAAAGCCGCGGTGATACGACGAGATTGAAAATTCATCTGTTTCGCAATTTAATCCAGGTGTTTTGAATCAATTATCCAGCGAGGCAAGCTACGAAGAATATTTTATGCTGTTTCAACTTTTTCGTAGCTCTAGCCCGAAGGCAAACGAGCCACTACCCTCATCGCGGTAGTGAGCATGTAGGCTCGCAAGGAAAATATTTGCTCATCCCTGTGAAACAAAGGCGCAGAAGATTTTTTATCGCGGGAATCGTCTTTTGCACGTCTACCTCCGTTTCATCGTCAAACGCGGCGGATTACGGCCACGAACGGATACCCGTGTTCTCAAATACAATTTGTTGCGAGAAGGTTGATTTCTATGAGTTGGTCAAAGTTTGTTATATACTACTGTGCGAAACCTCGTGTCTATGTCGGAGAAACTATCTCACCCAACTGAGAGTTTCGTATCTTCTCCTTGATTTTCTCCGAAGTAATGTGTAAATTTCAAAATTAATCCTTTGAAGCATAGGACTTTCAAAACTTAAGGATGCTTTGAAACTAAGAGAGAATTATTCGAATATCCACCAAAAGCCTATTAAAAACAAGACTTATACTGCAGTTTAAAGACAAAATTCCTCTGATTTCGAGAATATTATGATTAGAATATCTTTTTCTTGGTCTTAGAAGAATTCTCTTGAAGTCATACATAGAGGATTTTGCTGAAAATAAAATTATATTTTTTTCAATGTAAATAAAATATCTGTTTCAAAGAAAGCAATATATTATCTCGAAGAAAATTATAAGAATGGATCAAAATTACAATATCGAACTGTTTTATGTGTCTCAAGTCTCAAATGAATGCGCTTGCGATTTTTTTCGCATATTCAAGCGACGAAATGTACGAAGTCTCATTAAAAACTGCAAATGTATTCATTATGTCAAGATTATTGAGCCTTGCGTTCTCAGGCCAAACATTCACTCGTTTCCAGCATTCATTCATAATTACCGTAATTTTGAACTTCTATCCCGAGACGTATCTCGACATATTTTCAATGAGTTATGAACGAAGTTGTATATTTCGTCACGGTCGAGAGAGCTTCGATAGACTTCAATGAACTTATGCTGAGGTTTCCTGGTAGTACGGGATAATAATACGTTATTAATTCATCCTCGTGGTGACTTTACGAAAGTCCCGCGAAACTGCGAGATATTAGTAGCGACACAACGCGACAGTTAGCATTAAGTCGGCTTTGCCGCTAAAGTGACCTAATTGTTAATATCAGAGTGCTCGCAATAGGAGCTACGACCGAGTAGGAGATGAAAGGCGGAGTCTTATGCGTCCTTATGCGCCATTTTGCCGATTATTTATGAAAGATAGTTGAAATGCTCGGGAGGAAAGTGCAAAACTCAGTAATTCATAGCGCAGCTCAGCGCCGCTACGTGGCATGTAATTATTAATTAGTGGCATGGCAAAGATTCCGTACAATCGCGATATCAGATCTACAGCATTGTAAGCGCTCGCAAATACAGTTAAAATTACAGGAAAAAGCGGAAACTTGGCGTAAAGCCGAAAGCACGCGAAGACGCGTCACCGAGCTGGCATTGTCGCAACGATTCGGCATGACTATCGCAAAATCGATTATATCTCCAATGATGTCATACGCGACGTTCGGCTTCGAGCCGAAGAGCGTTTTTTCGCCCGCGGCTATCATTCATCGTCCAACGATTCTCGAGCGTTCTCGTCGGATTGCACGCGAAAAATTTCCTGGCAAAATTGTGTCGTGTCGTCGTGCGACAAGGGTAGAGAAATCGAATTACAAGTGATTTATCCTCGATCGCAATCTCGCGTCCAACCTGTCTGACACATCTATCACGTCAAGGAATGTCAGGCATTCGAGTCTATTAATTCGAGGATACAACCTGTGAGAGATTAGATTCGACTCACGACTAGTTACCGGCTTCATCGTGCTCCGAATAATTCGAAGGAGGGAGGAAGCTTGTGCTTCTCGCGCAAATAATACCTTCAATTTGTCGCTTGCACGCAAATACGTTTCACGTAGTTCGCTTCACTTCACACTAAACGCGATACTTGCTAAAGTACTCAATGACTGACGCCTGATTATTTATCCTCCTTAGTCACTGACACTTTACAAAAATCTAGTTTTTCTTGCTACCTGTAACACAGTTCACGATTTTAGTTGCGATATTCTCTTTTATCTCATTGCGTGTTGACAACAAATTTAACTGCAACGCTAGTCGCACAAAAAATTCGACTTTTTTTTTAAATGTGTTAGTAACTATAGGATGTCAATAAATGGGCGCTTTACTTTACGTTACGAAAAGGATGAAATAATATAAAAGTGATGTCGTTAAACGACATCAAGCGCAAGAGAATTCGCGTCTTTACAAAATACGCGTTCGCCTATGAGAGTTTATCGGCTGGAAAGTCAACGTCACGTTAGGAGCGCATCCCATGTATTAATTAATCCGTCGACGTTATCCATCTCCTGCCGGAATCTCGAGATTCCCGACTCCTCTGACCGGTCGTCGTGCGTCTATCGACGTTTCGAATTTGCCACATGTTTGATTACCCCGCGGCGCAAGTATGGCGGGTTCTACTCGGGGGAGATTAATTGGACGACGCAACGTATTTCCCAGGCGTATCCTCGTCGAGTATCGCTTATAAATCGTGCCTGCGCGAGTCCGCGTACCAAATTTCACTCGATACCACCGACCAGTCATCGGTTTGGTTTCATATTCGTTCGATAAGCAAGTCGATGGGACAAGTCGACTGTCGTGTCGTTACGCTGCTTACGCCGGCGAAGTTCCATAATGTCTTTCGCGAACTTTTTCCCGCGAAACGCTAAGAAACCGACGAGGTGGTTGCCTCTCGCGAAAGCCAGTCGATTGTATCTTAAAAACAGACACGTGCCAATCATTCTGTTGTGGAAATTAATTTGTCTCAGATAGAATAATGTGAAATATTTATGAATACAATGTCAAATACAAGAGACGTAGCCGCCACAAATATCAGTGTAATTCAGCAACTCAGAGAGTCTGTGGACGTTAATATTCAGGTAAAGTGCGAGTAAAGCACGAGAGATACGGTGGACCAAGCTTAATTATTACCGCAAGACTTAGCGACGCTATGGGCCGTGCTCTGACCGCACATTTAGCGTTAAATGTAGTCGTCTGAATCTGTTGCTTCACTTGTCTCATGCGAAGGTCACACGGGATGTTGTTTCTCGACGCGAGTGTGCATCGGGCAAGCTGCGCCAAACATTAAATGTGTAATCGTGATATGTAACATGATATGTCATGCCCGAACAGTTACTAAATCGAGGGTTATATACTTTTGAGCCTCACAAGATCCTTGAGATTGAAAATCGTATAAGTAATTCTGATTATAATGATAGGATTATAATGGTATTAATTATAACAATTTCGCACATAAAGCCGAAAATCCTGTAACTCTAAAGAATGTTCGAGTATCCATGATGTCATGTGTTAAAAAATCGATCAAGACCATAACGAGGACGACGACGAAGACGAGAGCGAGAGTGATGTATTATGTTATGTAGTGTCGCGTCGCGTTTGCGCGCAATTTACACCGTGCTGCGATGCAATGTACGTATGCTCGTTTCTCCGAAGGCTCGCTGATCAGAACGAAAGCCGAAGGTCAGAAACAACGCGGATTAGCTGCGGGAAATTTGAATAGTGTTACACTTAAATTACTATCGTCCTCGGCAACCCGGAAATCCGGTAAAGATTTTCGTTCTCGATAGCATCTCTTTCTTTCTCTGTCTCTCTCTTTCTCTCTCTCTGATAAAATCTGGAACTACGGAACAATGAAAGTTCTTATCTGTCGCGCTAATTGCGGAACGAATTACTCCAATCACCGTCGTGATTCGGACATAATAAACGACGCAACGAAGACATTGCGTGCAAATTGCTTGAGTAATCGCCCGATAACGCATTCGTATCGAGGTTCAATCAAGTCGTTTGCATAATGCAACGCAACTCGCATCATTTAATAACAGCGCACGATTAAAAACGTATTGAAACTTAACGCGGTGTGTATCAAATTTATCAGTCTAATAAATGAACTTTATTAGGCTCTTTAGATATTCAACTAATTAAAGTAATTTAAGAGCCTTTGAGGACCTATAACAAATAAGCTGCTAACGTAATATTTCTAGATTGTCAAGAAATATATTTTATTATTGAAACCTTTTAATAATTTTTAATATTTTAATAATAAAAAAATATATATATTTCTTAATGGCCTAGAAATTATGTTAATAACATGTCTTGGTTGATTATATTACATTATAATATATGTATAGAGACAAAACGGAGCATTAATTTGTATTGACGTAAAATTTGATTTTAATGACGAATTAATGCGTTTTGGTTAGATGACATGAAATTTCTGATTCTTACGACATAAATTTGATACTAAGAAGCAGAAATTCCGTTTCCTTCATCCAAAACGTGCATTGGATTCGTTCATCATAATCACAAACTTCATGTTAATACAATCAAATTTTTTTCCATGTGTGTGTATATGTGTGAATATATTGAGAAAAAGTAATTAAAAAAGTGCATTTTTTGCCCAAGATATAAAATTTATGTACACAGAAATAAACTTTATTTTTAGAAGTGGACCTTATATCTCACAAATAAATTTTCAAGTATCTTTTTTCAGTGTAAGCTCTCTCAAAGACTCTTGAATAATTTTATTTGATGTTTGCATTTAGTAGTGTGTCTCCCTCCTTACTTTTTTAGTGCACAGTCGTTTATGCAGACGTGCATCGTCGTCGAGAGCGATTGCGAGTTGCTGCCGAACGACATTACTCATGAGACTCGATGCGTTGGGACATTTGCGTCACCACCATCACGGCGCCACGGAACACACGCATACACACACCACGTCTCTGTCTCCACCCTGCAGGACGGTACATGACGTACAATAACATAACACAATACAACGATAACAACGATGCGGATCGCAAGTAATTGTCGAAAATCAACGTTGTAATCGCGACACGATCGTGTTCACCATTAAATATAGAGCGACGCAAAGGCTGGCATCACCAGTCTTTTAATCCCACGTCTGTCGCGCCGATAATATCTTCGGAAAAAGCAAACATGACGACTTGTTAGTCACGCGCAAAGAACCACAGACACCGATTACCGGCCGACAGATCGATACATACCCGCATAAATTATATATTTGTCCGATGTAATTTTATCGGGTGGTGACACGATTTGACGGGTAACATTTATATTATATTATTTTAGACGCAATCAGCTTTGTTTGTATTCTTGCATTATTTCATAGATATGATTGATAATATTATCCATTCGCTGACCATAATATCATCTACTCCGACTTGCTGCCTTCGTGCGCGTTGCGATACAAACTGAGTGGAAGCATACTGTCGTGATCTAACAGTCCGTGCGTGTGAACTTCACATCATCATCCTGCTCTCCCTCTTTACTTCATTCCAAAAGACGGTTAACGTATTGTCTCCGAAATTGTTACATCTCGATCTCTTATGCAAACTGTTGTTTGCAAAAAATTAATCGTTTTCCTGGGATAATTTCTCAACACAGTGTCGGACATTGGATTCGGCACATCTGCTCTATTATTTCGGCGCAATGATTCGTGAAACACGATAATTTAAGAAAATATTGTGATGTGCAATGAATATACACTGAAAAAAATATTTGAAAACTAAATTGTAGAATATAAAGTTTACTCTTTTAAAATAAATCAGTGAACAGTCACTGATATCAGTTATTAAGTATAGCACTGAGCAGTTATTAAATAATAGATCACTGAGCAGTTATTAAGTAATAGATCACTGATATCAGTTATTAAGTATAGCACTGAGCAGTTTCAGTGCTACACTTATAGCTGCAAATCAGTGTATACTTTCAGTGATGTTCCACTGATTCATTTTAAGAGAGTATATATATATATATTTATTACCATTCAGCTATATACCATTTTAAGAGAGTATATTTCCGTGAATAAACTATATCTCACAAAGCAATTTTCAAATATTTTTCCCTCAGTACAAGAGAGTAATTCCTGGGATATGTGAGACTAATCTTTATTGATGTCGTAGTTGCGCTGTTATACGTGATACACACGGTGAATAATTATTAAATAACTGCTAAATAATTAAGGATGTTATTGAATCACCAGATACCATTATCCGCTTTATAACTTCATTGTTAGAGCTCGCGTGTCCGGTTAATTCAGTAGCTGCGGTAATACATGTCAAACAGCTTTCATTCTCGATATCTCGTTTCACCGTCGAAATTCGCGATCAAAGTGATCTCTCCCGCGCGCCAAATGTGCGACATCGTGCTCGACAATGCAGAAGAAAGAGAAAAAAATTACGAGTGAAATGTGAGAAAATGTTATAATTTCGCGATTTCAATTCCGACGAAAGTGTACACGGTGCGTCGACACGCCCGTTCGTACACCTACTCGAGATATGCGACATGATTCGAGAGTTAAACATTATTACGTCAGTAAATAGATCGATACACCGATAAACACGATGTGCTCACACGACGATACAATCCAACGAGACTGCAATCGCGCGCAACAACGGCGAAGAACAATGAATTGTCCTACGCGACTGATACCGATTGTTCAGTGACAAAGGCGATTGAACAATTACTCCGGATCGATGAAATCGCAAGACGACGGTCTCGCGCCATCCGTCCTATAGAGTGGCTGTACGCGCGCGCGTGTGACGTTCATTTGTGTATCGCACGTACCGTGACTTCTAGGTCGTCGCGGGTCGCCCCTATCGACGGTACCTTGAGGACACTCAAGGACTCGCGGCAAGAACATTGAACCTCGAGCTCGACCACGCGGGATATCGATTTGCATCGCGTGCGCGTTACGTCCTCGACTCCCGTATCTGTCGGGACGCGTCAACTATTCTCTGTTAAAGTCGATGTTTGCGAAGCGCGACGAGGCGAGAGGCGATTGTGTATATGTGTATTTAATTGTGATTGTGTGTGTGTGTATACGCGCGACGTGTCCCTGTATTTTTGCGATTTATCGTTTCAATACGTGATTGAATGACGTTTGGAACCCAATTCCACAACTTACTTTTTAACTCGTTAAAAGCCTATCTAGACAAACTTGCATAATCGATTATTCATATGCGCAAGAAAATTGACTAATCTAATATACAATCTGCCTAATACAAGAGGCACCTTTTACGGGTCGTGATTGATCGATTTCCTAATATAGACACAATGTGTGATTTGACGCAAGTTTATCTGGATAGATCTTTAACGAGTTAAACTTCAGTTAAAGCAAGTTGTGCGGAACCAGGTCTAATAATCTGTCGTGGAGCAACAGCGACGTAAGGACGGTGCGTAGACGTCAATTTGCCGCGTGTTTTAGTGGTCGTACGATAACGAGGCGACGTGACGCACGACGATACGCGATGATGTGTGACACAGCGGTGATGCCGCGTCAGGTCGGCGCGCCCAACATGCCTATCGCTCCGTGTTATTATTTGGACACTGCTTAAACATACAGCAAATTGACATCAACCTGTGCTTCGACGCGCGGCTCGTGGTAACTGAATCTGAACCTGAATCTCGACACGCCGCGACACACGAACGGATACAACCAACTTAATGGTCGTGCTCGCGGCTGGATTTGCGGTCTCGTTGTGAGCGACTGCGGCCAGAGATGCATACACGTCGTTTAAACGTCACACGCGTTGCGTTCAGTTATTAAAAGGGATAAAACGGACCGAAAAGTCGAGCTTTTGTTACGCAAATTATTTGCAGATGTCGCGTCCGCGACGAAATTAAAATGATCTATCATTAATATCGTCAATACGTTATAATGGTAGCGCTTTCAGCGTACGCATTGTATATTTAATATCGCATAATACGCACGCCACTGTTTCATTAGAGATTGTCCCGAAATAGACTGATTGCGGGAAAACGGCACGTTTCAGAGTTGATTGCCTGTTGGACAAACACATCAAATTATCGTCGTGCTCGGTATTTTACGGGCAATTTTCGACTTATTATTCGCATTGTTTACGCTCGCGGTGGATAATGTACTCCTTCGAGCAGACGACAATTTGTTTTGCGTCCACGTCAGCGGTAAGCCATTGTGTCGCACATGAATGAATACGTGAAACCCGAATATCCGAGCTTTGACAAATTGGCCGACTTTTCTGTGAAAGAAACTGCGCGCATCCGTGTCAAAATCGAGAAACAAAGAATTTTTTTCTGTAAAAAAGAACGTGCCATCATTGTTTATTTTAGGAGATGCTCGGTGCCGACACAATGCATCTTTCGTATTTTACACTATTCTTCTTTTTGATTGTATAGAATTACAAATGTTTATATGGAGTGAAACGACTAATGTCAATGAATGGCGGTAACCCATTATATAAAAAAAAGAAAACAAAGATTAATCAAAAACCTTGTTAATTTTTTACATACCATGAGCTATTTCGCCATTTCTTGACATTTGCATTTTAACTCTGTGTATAAGAATTTACAATTCTATATAATCAAATTCTGCAGAAAAGTGCAGAAAAGTGCAGAATATAAAGCTGCATCATGTTGACATTCTTCTAAAATCTCAATCAAATTTCCCCTTCGTGAAGTCTCGATTTGGTTATTGAGATATTTATCAAAGACAATTTATTAAAAAGTTGTTGAAATAAATGCCGCTGGTTTTCTGCGATACTTTCCTCGAGAGAGAATCAAGACAGCGCGAGAGTGCGATAAAGTTCAGGCGCAAAATCATTAAAGTTAAAATTGCGGGTTTCTCTCTCTCGCTCTTTCACTGTTACGGTCATTCCATGTAAAAGTTATCCAATTGTTGTTCACGACACATATCGCCGACTGTAACCAGCCGGAAGAAAAGTTGCACGTTGCTGCACGTGGAGACAGAATGACGCCTCGCGTCGCGTCGCCGCGCGTCGCATCTCCGACCTTGAACCCGTTGTCCATAAGCTTTCTCCTTAGTTACTTCCTATATTTCCCACAAGGCCACGGTCACCAACGCTCTCTTTCACTTCGATCGTCAATTCAGCGGCGAATCCAGAGAAACGCGGGATTATTCTTCCGGGCCGGCGCGCCGTCGCCGCTATCCCCTCGCAATATGAGAACAATGCCAATCCCGTCGCTATCCATTTATTATATTTTTCCTTTTGCTCGATGTAGTGTTGCTGCTGCCGCAGCTCGATCGTGCGACCGTACGGTTCAACTGGAATACGTTGCGTAAGCCAACATTACCCGGCGGACCCGATGTCCTAGTAAATATACTCTCTTTGATAAAATCTGCTTCATAATTAATTTACAGAGCTTCGATCGTTGGTGGCTCTTGCATGTCGAAGCTCGCCCGCGGCTCGAAACGACTCGATGTCGCTTTCGTATTTTCACGTCAATTTTCAATTTTCGATTTACACCGAGATAATCCTACCTCTCCCGATATTTCCATTAATTGCAGATAACAATTGCTTGTGCGATTGGCGTTCTTAGTCTGACATATCGTACATCTATATATCATGTAATACATGATATACATGTAATTTAGATTAATCGGTCGATTTGGTCGGAATCAACTTTGGACCACAGGACTACATTTGTGGGAACGTCGATGTAACTGTTTATCCTATAAAATAGTTTTTAACGCGATCGCGATTACATTATCCGTACCTCCGAAAAGCCTGGAACGCAATTTATACCTCGCGCTAATGCATCTCGCGCAGTAACGATCCGCACGTCGTGGAACATTATTCTCATCCACGTGTCGCACATCTAATGGTATTTCCGGTACGTATTATATTTTCGTTCGCGCGGTACACATTTCCACATTCGGCCGGGATTCGGCGAAATGGACGTGCAAACAGTTGGCGGCGTGCCTGCGTTGTACTTGACCCTGCAATGGATCACAAGCTCTGCGTGGGCGTCACGGTCATGGTCGATCTTTACTGCCAACGCGCTCATCCCGAAAAACAACGATTATCTCTATAAACCGACACGGGTAAATACAAAAGAACACGAAAAAACACTCACATGCATACTTTTACGTATAAAGTGTTCGGTAACTGATGTACATATTGATTAAGAAAGATATTTCTTATCAAAATTTCGAGATCTCTTTTTCTTTAACCCTCCAACGATAAGATAAAATTACGGAATATAAGCAACAAAGGGAGTCATATACGACTTCAACATTTTTAGAGTTTTTTCCTTCTGCATATTAAAATTTATGTTAGGACATTTATGTTAATAAACAACAATTTAACGAGAGTATATATTTTTTCTGTGTAATATCCGACTTTGGCATAAGCATATCACAAATTTTCAACGGATTGCATTGAAAAATACATACCGAATGAGGTCATCTTCTTTTCATCTTGTTCGTTTAAAGGTTAAAAGAGAATCTTAGACACTTACATTAGAGTCACTTATCTTAGAATCTTACATTAGTCGAAGACAATCTCGATCGCAGCCATAAGAAATAGTGATACGGATATAATAAATTACAGTGACACAATCATGAAAACATCTGATAATGGCGAATAATGTGATTATAGTAAACAAGTAATTTAGAATCATTTCTATGTACCTACATATACCGAAAGATTTTCATATTTGATCACATAAGTATCCTTGATTTAGGATACAAAGAGGGCCAGGGCTTTACGTCAAGGATGGCGAGCGTTGAGAGGACTGATTAAACATATTAGAGATGACGGGAGCCTCGAGAACTCCCTCGACCACAAGACTAAATCTTCCTAACGTACTCACAACGAGCGTTCATCGTGTTATCTTCCTGTCTGCTCATCATCGCCATTGTCGCGGCGATTTAACTGTTGTACTACTGAAAGTCCTCTCGCAATTAATCTTGAGTTACGATTACGCTTTGTCCGCTGGAGAACCATTATATCTCGGTGTATCAGGTATATGTTCGCAAGACGAAATTGCTATTATGCGAAAGTCAATGCTGCAAAGTGACTACAAGTCACTAGTCGGGCACTCTTTAATACGGGCTATAATTACGCGCTATCGGAGTAATGACACGAACAATTTAATTCGTCGCGTATGAATAAGTGCGCGTATGGTGGTGTATGGATTAAGCGACTGGACGTTTCTATAAATCTCTCAACCAATCTAAACTTTTAATTAAAAGCCAGACATAAATGTGAAAAATACAAGAAGAAATTTCGTAGCAAATTTCGCAGAAAGCTTGCGGTCTTTAAATAAAACATTCTGATGTTATTTATCTACACTGTGAAAGAAAAAATACCTAAGAAATAACAAAATATTTATTCGATAGGAGGATGCTAATAAAATACTTACCTATATATCGATATATAAAATATTTTTTTAAATAAGAAAATATACATTTTCTTAAAATCTTAATCTTTTTACGAAAATAATTGCTTACTTTATCCAAATAAAAGAATTTAAATTTAAGCAAATATGTTATTAGTCCTGAATAAAATTTTTTATTTTTCAAATATTTTTTCTCTCAATGTAACAGTCCAAATTATTATTCTAATATCTGAAATCTGAAATGTAAAATCTATCTATGTAAAATGTAATATCTAATCTGAAATGTAAAAATAGATTCGACAATGACAAAACTATTTTACTGTGAATAATCTTTGTATTAATATTGCTGTAGTGCTCTTTCAATTCAATCATTTTTCTTCCCCTTATTAAACAATTCTTCTCCCTCCTTATAATCTTCCAGAATTGTATATGGATTTTAAATCCAACACAGTTATGACTATCGAGAACGTTGCCAGACGGATTGCGAGTTATTTAGACAACATAAGCTTCGTCGAGGTTCGCACACATGTCTGTGTTGCCGCGCGCAATCTTTATCGACCTTCTGTCGGTTAGCTTGTCACGCTTCTTTCGCTCGTTGCTACACCCGATAATTTCAGACACGCGATTTCCATAATCTCCGAGAAAGCGGAAGCTTACGTGCTTTACTTGCAACACGGACGCGAATTGTTCGTACGTACGAGCGCACGCATAATTTTCCGCCAACGACAATCCGACTAACTCGTCTCGCAATTTTATTTTACGAGGAAAGCTTCCGCGAAGTACTTTGGACCATTCTCGACACAGAAATCAGATGTTATCCCACCGAGTATATATCGCGACGTGACGATATTTCAGAGTTCACTTTGCAAGTTGAGCGCGAGGTACGTGCATACACACATACACACTCATTGAGAACCTGAGAAAACGTGATTATATATGTCGCGATTTCTCTTTTACGCACTGCTCCCCTATGCTGTTTTCCCTGCGATACGCGCCGCCAACAACTACTATCGCAAATTGTTTATTCAACATAACTCGGCGGCGGAAACGATGTTCCCTTGCATCAACTATACGGCGTTACGTCTGTTCAACGACGGGAATCGCATCGGCTTGATATGCTACCAATGCGACTGGTTCGAAAACGAGATCATATAGCAGTTCATGAAGGATCGCGCGATGATTGTAAGCGATCGGCCGTTGCAGATCAAGAATAGACGCGCAGTCAGCTACCTGGTGTTCGCCAACAAAATGTTCGCGGAGTCGCGGCGACAATTGCTGGAGGAGAGGAGTAAGAACCGCGGATACTTGCACAGGACGCAATATCTGTTCGTGAGCGCGGCCGCGCAGGAAACAGTGCACACTTTCGCCGGTGATTTATGGCGCGCAGGTTTTCGCGATATAGCGTTCCTCACGCTAAACAACTCGGACCGTGGGATGGTTCAAGTGCCCGTGATGAAGCGTACCATTGTCATGAGGTCGCTCGGCCATTGTTCACCGGCCGGGAATGATCTAAACCGGATCGTGCCGTACTCATCCAATTTCTATCGATTCTGCGCACGGAAACCGTGCACGCTGCTGCACGGCGCTGTGGCCGACGATACCGTGCGATTCTGGCGCGACGAGGATCAGTTGAAAATGTCGGGTAAGCTGAGTAGAAACCGCTTCAAACAAGGTATCGTAGTACGCATCGCTAATAGTACATAGCGCAATACTATCGCTACTCGAAAAGATTAGTAATTGGCTATAATTATGCAAGAGAGTGATCCAAGCCACATGAAGTACATTTCGACAAAAACAAAGATGAAAATCTGATACATGATTTAGAAAGTACATATAGTACTGATGTCCATTAATTGAATCCTTTGAGTGTAGACAAGTGTAGATGAACGCGCTTGGAGACGGTACGCTTATCTACACTATTCTACACCGAAAAAAGACTCAATAATTAATGAACATCAGTACTAGAAGTTCTTCACAATCATTTAAGAAATCAAGCATCATCAATTTTCTTCTCTTTAAGAGTATTCATTGACAAATTAATCCTTAAAAAATAGGTAAAAAAACATAAAAATAACGCAAGATTAGTAGAAAATTAAAAAACTGTTTTTCAATTAATTTTAAGCGCTCATAAGACTTGGATCTTTTTGATTTTATGTAGAAAGACGTACACTCTAAATTTCTCGGAGTGAGACCTCACTCCAAGGTAGTGAAAATTACGCCAGTCGAAGTTAGAGCGAGAATTTCACTCCAAACGAGTGAAAACTCACTCCAAACGAGTGAGAACTCACTCCAAGCGAGCAATTTTTTCACTCGTTTGGAGTGAAGTTCTCGCTCTAACTTCGACTGGCGTAATTTTCACTACTTTGGAGTGAAATCTCACTCCAAAAAATTTAGAGTGTATGGACTATCCATTGGTAACAAAAACTCTAAAATTATAATTTTGTTGGTTGAATCATTTTTGCATAACTATAGCCAATTTTGCTCGATCGATGATTCTGTTTTGTCTCACATTTTCCTCAACTCGAATTTGAAACGAAATCTTTATCTTTGATTCAGAAACAGACGGTTATGAGTCTATGGGAGTTATGTTGATCAAGCGATTCACGTCTTACTACAGTATCGAGACACGCTACAAAGACGCTAACCTGACGTGGCCGGAAGCAGCTAGAAAGCTGCTCAACGGTGAACTTGACATAGTAGTCGGCTTGATGCCGGAGAATCTGAAGATTCTCGAGGGTCTGCAGATCATTTGCTGGTACAGAGACCGAACGTTGACATTCGCTGCCCAAGTGCATCGTCGACTTCGCGACCATCCGGTACTGCAGCTGCTCACACCGTTTCACTATTCTGTCTGGGTTTGCACGATCGTCATGCTGCTCTTTTACATCGTGCTACTGTATACGCTTAGAAAGTTGGCGCGCATAAGATTAATTAAGGAGCGATTAAAGTTCATGCAAATCTACGAGATCATGCTGGGCCAAGGCGTCTCATTGCCGAGGAAGATGTCGTTACGCGCGGTCCTGGCACTGTGGATGATCTTCTCTCTAAATCTAAGCATCGTTTATAATAGCACTTTCACGAGCTCACTTGCCGATTTGAACACGGAGGATTTATTGAAGGATCTGGCGGAATTACGGGATTCGGATATGCCTCTCTGCGGACCCTCCATCGTACAAAAAGTTCTGAATGATTCCAACGACCCGGTCACCACTGATTTGCGCGACAGGTAATATCTGATGCGATCAAGGAGATTTTCCACTAGTCAGTTAGAGTAGAGTAGCGTGTGACACTCGGTAAAAGATTAATCACGAAATATCAGTCATCTCATGAGTAATATAATCTCACAAGTAATATAATTGAGCATTGGTAACTCCCAATTTATAAATGAAAACAAAAAATATATTAAAGTATATTCCAAAATATATTCACACCGTCTGAATGTTTTACCGTCTTACAACTTTCTAAGTTTCTTCGAGTAAAATTTTGCTCGAAAAATAGAGTCGGAAAATTATTCGAATTCGAGTAATTTTTCACTTGTACAGAATTCTTCATTCCGAGTTGCCAAGTGAATATATTCACTCGAAACTAAAGAATGAATCTGATGTATGAATGTATGATATAAGAATGTGTCTTTTACTGTCGGAATATGAGTGATTGAGACATTCGCTCATACGGAATCCATTCTAAGCTTGTGTGAAATATTCACTCTTGCGATGCAAGAATAGCAGTATTTTCAGTAATGCTTCAAGTGAAAATATTGCTACTTTTCACTCGTTCTGAGTGAGATTCCACTCCGGGAAATTCAGGGGGAACTAATTTATCAAATTTGTTTTTACAAAACTTTGGAGATTTGAAAATCTTGCCGAGCACTATATGCGCGCGCGATTATTTATGGGATATCCAATAAATATTTATCACGCCGTAGCCGAAGTTCGCATGAAGTTTTATTTTACCTTAAAGTCAATAAAGATGTCTTGAACTTTCACGACGATAGATAGAGAGATAACCCCTATTTTAGGTTCACCTCGCACGCGCGAGGGTATCGCGCGTGGGTTGCGAGGATCTGAGGGTTAGTCGAATTTCACTAATACCTATTGGATAACCGGATATCGTTCCTCTTCAACAGATACAGGGTCATGAGGCGAGCGGAGGAAGTGTTGGATGCAATAATGTCGAACAACACAATGGGAGTGATCCAGCATATGACTGTCGACAGAATGAATTGGGCGACCAGGACAAACCGAAGTCTACGCATATACACCTTGTCGCAGCCTATACTGACATTTCCCGTATTATTTTACACGAGGGCGGAACATCCGTACCGCGTGCCCTTTGAGCGCATTGTCACAGAGTATCGTGAATCAGGATTGCTTTATAAATGGGTCAAATATTACGTGATCAACGAAGATAAGCAGATCGCCACGTCGCGCGTGGAAGACGAAGACGACGAGGACGGTATATTGAACATGGAGCACCTCGGGCCCGTCTTCAAGTTTTTCTTTATGTGCCAGACGATCAGCGTCTTGGTCTTCTTCGTCGAATTATTCAAATTCCACGTTCTCAAAGTACGGTAAAGTAATGTCACAGCATAGTAGTCGAAAATCTCGTTTAAATTTTGACCTTTTGGAGTCGCGGTCCATTTTAAAGATCAATTGAGTGAGGTGAAACGTACCATTATGCGCGCTTTCATGACATTTTATGCAGTCGAAAAGTCTCATCCGAATGAATGATGCGATTCCAATATTACCCGTCTCTTCCGATATTATCCATGACGTCCTCGACGTTAATGCGACGTTAATTGAAATCTGCACTTCGCGCACCATTTAAGGTAGAAAAAATAGAAAAAAGAAGACCGACTCGCCGAATGCGATTTTATGATCGGCGCGGTGACGTACGCGTGACATCATTCTTCTATTTTGAACGCATATCGTGTGTACCGTGTACATTCCGTCATGAAGCATGTCTCATTGAACTTTATGTTCGCTCCTACGGCCTACACAAGGTCGTAGTATTACGTAGTATCCGCTGCACGAAAAGGGAGCGACGTTCTGCGTCGTGTACTGCCTTTGGCCTTATAAATTTCAACGGTGGCTCATGTCGTCGTAATCCACCGCTTTGAAGTTAGAATTCCGTTCGCTTAACCCGATCGCTTCCACTTACGTGATCTATTAAACTAATAACCTAGCTGTGCGCGTTCGCGCGCATTATTTTACTTCGCCTCTAACTTCGCTGTTCCGTCATCGTCGAAAATTTATCCCACGTTACTATCAATGCATTTTCCGCTCGGTCGATGATGAACATGTTAAATGTGGATATAATCGTGCTTATATACCGACAGAAATTTCAAGAAAATTAAACATGAGCGTTTCAAAAGAGAAAGAAAGAAAGAGAGAGAAAGAGAGTGTGTGTAAATATCTAAAAAAAATCTTTGAAAATTATTCACATTATGCCCAGGAGCGCGATTCAATTCAGTTTGCGCAATCTTACCGCAAAATAAGGATTCTCTTTACCGTAGGGAAACGCATTAAATTCTAATTAGGATTTCATTGGACTCTCAAATATTAACACGGTACTCATGACCCTCTCGCATTCCACTGTTCGCGTAAAACCTAATCTCTACGTCCCTACATCTCTATGCATAATCTATATACGCTCACATATCGTAAACTTTTGCACGATATAAAATCTGTATGTAAGGAATATGATATATAATATATAATTATATTTTATTATATCGTTATATGGAGGAAACTAAGGATATCATTTGCCCATATATATGGTTATCATAATGTTGATGTTATTTTTCGCGCATGCGTGCAAAAAAGTTGTAAAAACTATAATACTATAAAAGTTGTAATAACTATAATACTCTGAAAGGATATATACTGATGTTCTTTTCTGTCTGTCTATATGTGCTTAAGCTTTCAGTGTTGTATGCTGCAACAAAACTTTACAAGTTTTTCAATCAAAACATTCGTTCTGCAGAGAGACAAGAATATCTTTTTAGTTGAGACAACTATATATATATGAGGATATATTAACTCGTACATATATGAGGATATATTAACTGAATATTATATATCACAAGAACTATGACTCTAAGAACTACATAGATAAGTAAATGAAAAGTTTTATTTACTCACGGAAAAAAAGGTTTGGTTGAATTAACCAAATATCTGGCCTAATATGAACGATTCAAATATTCCGATAGCAGTAACCCGAATTATGTTTAAGTTAACCAAAAATTTTGTTAACTTAAACAGAATTCGGGTTATTTCAATCGGAATTTTTGAATCGTTCATATTCGACCAGATATTTGGTTAATTCAACCAAACTTTCTTTTCCGTACTGTCTTGGGGAAAGCCCTCTCAGGAAACATAAATAAATACATCTTTACACACAGAAAGTTTGACAAAAGAGTTTATATGGGCATATAACAATCATTTCTAATGCAATATTTATTTTCTATTATATTATAAATATTATTATTTAACTTGAATTTATATATATATATATATATATATATATAAATTAATATAAATTAATATTTATATAAATTGTTTTCCTAATCATAGAGAATGTGATGATAGCAACCATAACAGAATGCTCCGTGTAACAATATAACAATATAATATTATATTTAAACACACATACAATATAATCTCTCTCTCTCTCTCTCTCTCTCTCTCTCTCTCTCTCTCTCTCTCTTTCTCTCTTTTTCTTTAATATATACAAGACAACACAAGACGACACAAGTGTATAGTAACTTTTGTTTCAAAAGGCTGTCAGTCGCGTTGCTTGTTATGATCGTTTATTTTCTTGAATTTATGGACTGTAATAAATGTCCACTACCTGTCAGAATAATCGCACTTCGTTTTACGACATACAAATCAGATGGACCGTGGCATAGACAGGCAATATTCCATAGATTTCAACATACAGGTCGTCAAGTGTTTATTTATCGCGCATGTTTCGCATGTCGTGCGTGCGCGCGCGCGTGCAACAACACGCTACAAAGAATCAGCCGCGCAACTCAACCGTATATATTCAAGACTAAGTTCCGAATTTAATTGGAAGTTTCGCAGGTTGTGATTAGCGGGCCGCGGGTGGTCTCTCTATGCTACGTTATACTCGGTTATTTCGGCGTCACCTTGGTTTAAGTGATCGCGTACGAGAAAGTTAGTACTGCTATTTTCACAAGTGCCATCTAAAAAGAAAGTAACTTCTTGCTGGACGACGTTTGCGACGCGACCTCACCGCTCGCCGCTCGATTAGAAGAGTGCCATCAACGTAATTTCATATCACGCGATGTCCTTCGAGACGAGAATACCGCGTACGCGCATAGTGGACGATCTCCCGAGGATAGCGCTCGCCGGTGTCCTTTTTCGCGTATGTATGTACCGTAATGCTCTGCAGCTACGAAAAGAGAACGGACAGTAATGAATTAATGAAACCGGGACTCGGTAGGTCTGCTCTTTATTCTGCACACACATATACACACAGATCTCCTTACATTGATCCCGTGAAATCCATACTCGCCGAACAAAGCCGCCCTTTCAGAGACACCGGGCTATCACGTGGGCGACGGAACAGATGAATGGGGTAGCGATGACGCTAAGAACGTCGACGATTTGTAAGAAGAGATGCAAGAACGCAGACGCGAAGGATCGATTACTCGGTTTCTTTTTTTCTTCCTTTCCCCATACCGTATCGATTACCGGCTCGTCACGGAAGCGTTAGAAGTTTCTTGCCTCTTTTTGTAAGTTCGAGAAAAGCAGTACTAGTTCCGACGGTGTCGCGTGGTTCCAAGTTGTCGCTCGGGAAACCGACGTTAACACGAGAAATATCCGAATTGCATCTCTTTCTTTTTCTCTGTCTCTCTTGTTGTACCTCGCAAACTAACGACGAACTTTCGTTCTATCAGAAAAGATTTTCCCTCGGTTTTTGCAATTTAGGGTAAGTAAAGAACTCGAGTAAACTTGCCGGCGGATCGATTTTTCATTGATTTTCGCCCGTGGCGAGTTCGGATATTCAAAATTAATAATGGGACTCGACAAATTGCGGAACATTAACGAGAGAGCGGAGAGGAGAAGTGAAGGAGAGGAAAACCTTGAAAGTTGGAATAAACGAGACAATGATGACCTGAACATACCGTCTAATTAGAATTTCGCTCCAATTCGAGCATCTGCCGACGAAAAGTTCTCGAGGAGAGCATGAATGCGGGCATGATATCGTCTATGTCGATCGATGCGACCAGTAATAGAGCCTACGTTGGTATATTGCCGTACGCTTCTCCCAGATAATTACTCACGATTAACTCGCGCGCGACCGTACGGTTGACATCGGCGCGTATCCCGCTCGATTTTCGAGGCTTTCCTAATTTCGCGAGACCGTATCGCGGTAATCGCGCTACCTTCCCGTGAAATTAACCTCAGCATCGAATTTGGAGGGGCAATTAATTTCTGATGCATCGTCATTGATTTTCGATTATGCCTTCTCAAGGATTTTAGACGAAATCACAATGTGAGCTAAACGAACACGCGTAAATTAACGCGATTTCACCGATACGCTCGAGACACACATAATTCTTTTTCAAGTAAGATTACATTTGCCTCTCTTAGAGGGGTGGTGGGAACAGCACGACAAAAAGCTGTAAGATCGACGGATGAAAAGTAATTAGACCCGATAGCTCATAGCATAGCCTTGGAAAGAATTTTCTCATTTTACATTATTCGAATCGATTTCAATTGATAAAACATTCCGCGATAAAAAGTCTCGCCGGGAAAGAAAAAAGCAATCACCATATCCTCAGGTATGATCCTCAGGATTAGCAAACAATGGGACTTTTTGTCGCGCGTCGCAACAGCTCTTAATCCACTACACTAGAGATGACGTCGATGTTTTTTCACATACCTTGTTCAAGCACAGAGATCAGATTCTGCTAGTTTCGCCACCGTCTCAAATAGTCCATCAACGACACTGTTGGCGCGGACTTAAAGATGAGGCAAACAGAACGCCTGTATGTGAATAACACGAAGAATTCCCATCCACGTTATCGAATCTTTATACACGGTGTATACTTCATTTCGCGCCGGCATAGCGTATGTTTGCCAGCAACGTGACGCAGTGTGACGCGACCGGCACAATTTCGCCCCGTTCGTTGGACGATTTCGATGGAACGTGACTCTCATGTAGAAACGGAGATCTACAAAGCCTTTCCCGCAAGCAGTAAAGATCCACACACGTGTTCGCCGTGATTTATATGCGCCCGACGAACCAATCGCTTTCGTATGACGTCACTTCGAACGAGTCGAAAGTTTGTATTGTTTAGAATTAATTGGATCTTGACGGCGGGGATTAATTAGTTTAATAGGAAATTAATGAAGGAGACACTATGGTGAGTATGTGTGTGTGTGTGTATGTGCGTGAGAGAGAAAGAGAGAGAGAGAGAGAGACCTGTGAAAGAGAATACGCAACTCAGAGTTGGCAGCTAATTTAATTATAAATGAGTATTTAATTCTTCATATTCATATTAGAAATCAGCCCATATATGTCGGATTGAGATATCAACTGTTGGATTATAGCCGTTTCGAGATCTGAGCCAAGTAAAGGGCGGCTATACCAATCAACAGTCTGCTCTTTCAGAGAAAGGATGAATGATGTAGGAGAGCAGTCAACGACCACGATTTAAAGAGTCCCAATGTACCTCGAATTTCTTTCACGGCGAGTCTCCTGAGAAAACTATCCCTTCCTTTTTCTTTTAATGATTATTAACAATTATTAACAATTATTAATACATATATATATATATACATATATATTAACAATTATTTACAATATATTTCTCTGGTCGGATCGCATACTTTCGTGAGTGTTAATATATATGTATATATATATGTATATATGTATTATTAATTATTAATACATTATTAATACATTTTAACACATTGTAAATAATTATTAATAATTTACATGTGTTCCCTCCAAGTGTTACAAATAAAATTCTCATATTTTTATAATTTCTCGCTGAAACGATTCACGATGAATTTTGTTAATCCGTTCGATTCGCCCAGTTATATCGACGGTCAACGGATTATAATATAAAATTATTTTGAGCGGCGCGGGCCGATTTTCGCATCCGAGCAAGAATAGCGTTACTGTCATAATAATTGCCGGATAATAATTTATCCGATAAATCTCGCACAATTGTGCAGCAGTTGCGAAATAATAAATCTCTTGTGAAACGAGTTACTCGTTTTTCCGCTCCGCTTTCCGCCTCTCATATTCTGCTGCAATAATGGAAATGAATATACAATTGCCATCCGCAACGCCTTGTCGCATTGTACGCATAATCGATTCTTTAGGCAAAGTTCATATTCACCCAGTTTCCATTAAAATTCGCAAATCAGATTCGTAAAGTGTGGTAATTTCTCGCATGAATCCGCATTCAATCTCTGTGCGTCTGATGTACCGAATCGAACTTTTGGTTTTACACTCATTAACTCTGCAAATTCGATCGAACTTGAAGAACCAATGGATAAGATCACAAACAAAAGCTCGTAACATTTATGTTAAATTCTAAGGTCGGTATTTATAATTATGGATTACTCTTAAGATCTCTAATTGAGAACATATAATTAAAGAATTTTTTATTAACAACATGTTATCGTAATTATAGTACTGTTAATACAAATCTACAATATGCTCCTTGCTTTCTATTTTTTTCTCTTTATTTCCTTCTGATTTAAACTTTAAAGCTTGATCTACAATGTGTTTTTTGTTTCCTGTTTCTTTCTCTTTGTCTCGGTCTATAATCTGGCCTTAAGCTTTAAGTCTTAAAAAATTGACCAAACAGTCGATTATTCTTTGTGCTTGGTCAATTTCTTATAGCTTAAAAATTAAAACAAGGTTGTGGACAAGATGTAAATTTCTTTCTGACTCTAATTTTAAAGCCTGATTTACAATATGCTTTTTGTATTCTGTTGTCTTCTGTCTTTTTCTGGCTTAAAGCTTAAGGTTTTAATCAGAACGAGATAAAGAGAAAGAAGCAGGAAGCAAAGAGCATATTGAAGATTAGGCTTAAGTTTAAGCCAGAAAAAGACAGAGAACAACAGCAAGCATGTAGTATATTGTAGATTAAGCTTAAGCCTTTAGCTAGAAAAAAATAACGAACAGAAGCAATTGTAGATCTTTACTCAATTGTTTGTATCACATAATAGGTCTGTTCAACTGAATTGCCTGAATTGGTGAAGTAAGTTAGAGTAATAAGTTAGAAATATATTAACAAAATATAATAATATATTATATTTCGGAACAAAATATATTTGTCTCACTCTAACTTATTATACCAGTGCACTAATTTAAACAATTATTTAAATTAATTTAAACAATTCAGATAAAAAGAACAGATCTATTGGCTGTGTTCAGTAGACACAACGAGCAATCTACTTTTTGAAAGATGGATGTTATTGATCATTCAAAAGTATGCACCAATCATATAAATAATTTTTACTCAACAGTTGTGTTGTGTTTGCTGAACGTAACCAATGTTTCTCATATAATAAGCATAAATATAGCCCAGATAGACAGAGAATTCTAAAAGAATTCAGTCGTATGTCACCAATCCTGAATTCATTTTTAGATACAAAAAGAATTCTTTTCACTGAACTGAACTCTGAAGAATTTCTTTTACATCTGAAAATGAACTTAGAATTGGTGACATACGACTGAATTCTTTTTGAATTCTTTTTAAATTCTCTGTGCTATCTGGGAGGTTAAATAAACGCATGTCAAATGTTCAACTCGGATGTATCTTCTTGGCAAACGTTGATTAATTCATGCGTAATAAATTTCACTCACCTGGAAGTATATGATGTTTCGTTTCTTACGTCTCGACATACTGTATTCTCTGTCCTGGCTTCTCATTCCAACATGTTGCTCCCGGCTGCTCCGTCGTGACATTCTAGACATTCACTCGTGGCACTGACACTGATATTAACACTCACGAAAGTATGCGATCCGACCAGAGAAATACATTGTAAATAATGCGATACCGACGAACACCCGATACCACAATTGAATATTTTAAGAGCCGACGAGATATAATCACACGTAGAGAGTCAAACCAACCTAACTTGACTTAACTGTCAGGGTTGACACTCGAAAACCTTTTACTCAATAAATAAAATGGAATTTAATAAACCAATTATAACAAAGAAATCTTAGTTCTCTTTTCCGATAGGTCAAATAAATGTTACTCCACTCGTCGAGTGAAGTTTTCGAACGTAGGCGCTTCCAGGCGCTTCTCTCGCCGGTTCATAATGTATATGTGACAGCTCGGTTTACGACAAACTACACGACAGACGAAAGTACAACTCTATTTAACTCTTTGGTTAGATCATCGCGTTTCTTATTCCCGATTAATAAATCTGACGATCGTCCGATTCTATCGTTAATTAAGTGAAACGATGGTAATAGCATGTATAACAAATGCCGACTGGACACGTTGCGACAAGTCTTGCAACGTATCTAACAGACATATTTCCTGAGAATTATTAAAAAACAAATTCTCTTATCAAATATGAAATGAGTTACGAAACGCACCGAGAAAGAATGTTGCTACTTTTATTCAGTCGACTATATGTACCGAAAATCGAGAAGATTATTTGCTACTTATGTACTTACAATATGTCCTGATGATCGCACATCACTATTTTCAGCATTTCCGATACTTGATTTCGCATGAGACTTACTTTCAACGAGTAAAAGGCGCGTAAAATACGGAGCAATATTGATCGATATGTTAATGGCGGTTGCACAATGTAAATAGATCGAAGACGTGTTGTCTATATACAAATGCCAAAAACATTTGCCGCGCGGCGGAGAGTAGATGGCGCCATGTGGTGGCTAATCTAGTTCCTACGCGAACGCATTTATTGGCTACGCGTTACTTCCTACCGAGTGCTAAACTTTTTCGCGTTCTATCTGCACAAAGCGTACATCTACCGCGTTGTTTTTTATCTGTCAAAAGTGAGTCTCGTGTGGAACCAAGTATCGAGAGTGTCGAAGATAGCGGTATATGATTATCGGAATGTAATATAAGTATGTTATTAGAGAGTAATTTCGATTCTCGGTTTATGTCGAATCGGCGTCTCTTAGGCCGATATTCATAGTCGAATCTTATTTTAAGGCCGTCTTAAGTAATGTTTTAAGATGCGAATGCGACTCTGTGATTGGTTCATGACATCTTAAAACAGTACTTAAGATGATCTTAAATAAAAGATCTGACTATGGCCGATATTCATAGTCGAATCTTATTTCAAGACCGTCTTAAGTAATGCCTTAAGATGCGAATACGGCTCTGTAATTGGTTCATAATATCTTAAGATAGTACTTAAGATAATCTTAAATATAAGACCGGACTATGAATACCGGCCTATGAATACCGGCTTTAGTCCCGATTTACAATAGGCGTAGTAAGCTTTAAGCCGTAAGAAATTAACCAATCACAATTGATTATTCCTCTATAATTCGACTGTGATTAGTCTCGATCTACAATAAGTGTAGTAAAATTTAAGCTTTAAGAAATTGACCAATCATAGTCGAATTATAGAAGAATAATCGTGATTGGTTAATCAATCGTGATTGGTTAATTTCTTATGACGCCCCCTAGAGCGCGTGGTTGTCGAACCGCGACACCGTTCACGTTTCGGCGCGTATTTTTAGCGACCATATTGGATTTCGATCTTTTCGCATCAAGCAACCGCCATAGACACGTCGATTGATATCGCTCCGCATTTTACGCATTTTTTATGTATCGAAAGTAAGTCTCGTGCGAAACCAAGTATCGGGAGTGTCGCAACATAGCGATGTGCGTTTTGCGTTGAAACGTAACGTAAGTATGTTATTAGAGAGGAATCTTGATATGTGTGATCGTTGCATCGTGTCAAGTCAGCGTCTCTTATACACTTGTTATTGCTGTCGACTCACTCAAGTAGTAACAGTTTGTTAGCAAGAGGTGATACTCAGTCCCGCGAATGCCTTATAGTCGATAGTTACTAAAAATATTCAGCTAGCTATATTTATATTATTTTTTTAGTTATGCGTTCCCTACATAGCACGCAATATTACACAATGTCACAATAATATTTCCGTAATATTTCTGCGATATTGCAATATTATGGAAATATTATTGTGACACTATATAATATTACGTGCTATGTGGGTCTTTACACAGAGAGAACGATTTATTTTGTTCAATCAATCGGAAAATTCGTTTGGACTATTCCAAAGAAACGTTAATTTGATTCAATCAAATCGTTCTCTCTGGGTATTACTGTTATAATTAATCTGGAAAACACGATTCTGCTTTCTGAATTAATCAATAGTTATGAGAAATGCACTGCTAGGTGCAGCTGGCCGAACACTTTTAATAATGATCAATCTATCGATGGTGAGGCAGCCATGGGCTGAGTGTCCATAAAGTAGATAGAAACTCTCGATCCCCGTCAATTGCCTGCCGTCGTCCGTGAAGCGCGCGCGATGACAACAATTACACTTTCAAAACATTTCAAACCTTCAAGGAGGTCAAATTTACCTCTGCGCGTCGCGAACTTTTCCGAGTGTTTTCATTATATCACACGTGGACTACGTGTGTTGGTACGTTAATTATCATTCCCGTCGAGTGATTCAAACTTTTCGTAGCTCTTATAATATTCAACCAGGCTCTTGTCGACATCGCGGTAATCAGTGGGCGTTTTTTCAGTTGGATTGTGTCTACGCGAGTGTCAGAGTCACGATGGAGTATCCACAGCAGCCGGCAATAAGATACTGGGTCGAGAAGCTAGAGTGAAGGACATAGAACTTCGGAATACGGGTAATAATACATCATATATTTCCAGGTATGTTAAATTAATTATTATACAAATTTTCGATCTTAAGACTTCTGATTAGTCACTGCGGTTATATTGGATTAATGACGTCAGAAGCGAGGAAAACCATGCTTAAAATTTCTGCGAACTACAACTAAATAAAAAAATATATCATTAAAATGACAATCTGTTCTACACATTTGTGAAATGCTCCTAATACTTCTCTTTTGGCGAAATAACTTATTACACAACAATTTAGCAAGCTAAATGTGACAAATCGACTCATTTAAACAGAAAATCAGCTGTGTGACTCAAATAATTACTTATATGCATTCAATATCACAATAAATATAGTATCCAGAGCAATTCTACAGTTGTATCACATGTGATATACACGCACTACACTCAGTAATAACGTTGTAATTTGCAGAAAAAAATTTGCACTAGTCTAACTTGAAAACAGACAGTTATACTTTCTTTCTAATTTATTGCAATGGTTTGCATGTTGTGAACTTAATAGTTCATCATTTTGCCATTTACAATCATATCGTCACCGTCAACGCGGTTGACTGGTCAGAAGTTTAACGGATATTTTACGAACTTACTAAAAATGAGGAGATATCTCCCCCGAGTCGAAATTTAGACTAACATTCTCAATAATTTGACAAATAATTATAACTTCATAAATCTTTTATATTACCCATCAATCTATACTTGTATTTATTTTGTGCAAGAAATATTAATCTAAAGCAGCCGAATAATGATCAATGAAACTCTATAAATTTCTTGGAGTGAAATTTCATTCAAAAAATAGAGCGACAGCCGAATCACTTGAATTTGAGTGATTTTTCACTCCTCGAGTGAATTCTCCACTTTAAATCGTTGAATGAATATTTTCAATCTAAACTGAAAAGTGAAGCTGATACATTCCACCGCCAGGGAAATATATTCACTCCAATCGATCGAAACATCCGCTTATATCAGATCAAAATCCACTCTTGAATGAAACTCTTGACCCTTGTGATTTCGAGTGGCAGTATTTTCACTATCGTCTGGAGTGAAAAAGAAATTTAGATAGTACAAATCTGTAATTAATTGTATTCTCAATTAAAATTCCTAAATAATTCACAACTATGGATATCGGCTTTAGAATTTAATATAAACCTTGCAAGTATTGACTTTTATATGTTAACTTTTATATCTAGATTAAATGCTTTTTGGATCATATTCTTGTTTGCATCAGTTAACGTTTTCTTTTTATTTCTATTTAGTCTTATTCTTCGACGCAATCCAAATTTAAGTAATAATAAATTATTAAATTATTAAATATTTGATTATCTCATATAATATATTTATGACTAAGTAAGTTATATAACCAATACATTGCTACCTCAAATTAAGAATAAGGATAAATTAAGATTAAGAAATGAAGGTTAAAGACTGAAATGAAGAATAAAGATGATATTCGGCTCTAACTGGCCAGTTTGCTTGATATTATTATTATTTGTAATAAGGATGAAATAAAGATATTATATTTTGAGATAATTGAATATTAAATAATTTTTGAATAAATGCTCCTTTTCAAGCTGTTTCAACAGCGTTGTATCATGTCAATTTATATCATCCAAATAGGATAATAATATGCATAATATTATATCTCGAGATTCTTCATTAATCTTTCTAGTTCGACGAACTTGCGGGATTATAATGCAGAATTAAAATTTCGACTCGGGGTATCTTTAAAATTCATCGAACTCCACTTTTAGGTCATTTCGCGCTCGACATCGCGAAATTTTCCTTCCGATATTTCGCAAGATTAATGGTTTACGTATGGTTCACACATGAACGTGTCATAAGATATTAACTGCACCAGACACATCCTTTTTGGATTTAGCAAATGGACTATTTGGCGCGGTCCCAAATCACTTCTCCCGTCGTTCTTTTTTCGTCTTTCTCTTTCATTTTTTACTTTCCCACTGTATCTGATCGTCGATAAATTATACCTTTCACATGAAGTGATGACGTTTACGGTTTATATCTTAAGACAGCACCAAGCGTCCGCGTGCACGCTCGTACGTGATAAATTATTATATAAATATTTTTCTCGCTTTTTCTTTATTTATGGACATGTACAGAAAGCCTCAGTTTCTTCGCATTTATAACACATTATATAATATCGAGGCAATGTAACTGTAAGGATATTAGTAGCTCTAAGATAGGATTGAATGAATGTGGTTAAGAAATATAAATCAAGTCCCTTTGTTAGCTATGTGTAAAAAGCTAAAAGAAAATATACTCATACATTGTATGATATCGGATACATCGGGAGTTTCGCAATCTGCAAGAGTGAAACGGTAATTACAATCGCTCCACAAAGACGAGTCAAGATTATTAATCTCGATATGTTCGACGTCACTGTCCACGATCCAGCAGTTATATTTCATTCGTTAAAAGGTGGGGTTTGTTGAATTTGCACCGGTCAGCTGAAACAATCTGTCGCTGCTTTGGAACAATACGAAAATAGGCGCGACTGAACCGTGCCACGCGTTTCGCACAGTAAGCATACGACGAATTGCGAAATTATACTTGCCGACGATGAATGGATTATTCGGGAACGTTCGCCGCGACATATTGATTCTGAGCTCTTGGAAACACATTGCACACGAAGAATTACTAAAATGACACGAAGAGCGCGCGTTCGTCCTGATTTCTCGTTTTAGTTCGTGAAAAAATCACAGAATTCAGGGATCCGAGATCAAGAGATGTTAATAAGTTCGTTGCTCTGGAGAAAGTTATTCTTATAATATACGCTGAGATTGAAAGCATAGGTTTTTCACATAGATCTATTTATTCTCTCAACAGTTGAAAAGATTTGCGGTGTCTGTCTCGCGATAAACAATCTTGCTATCCTGTTATATCTGTTTCAATCCGGAGAAAAGTTTTGCCGTTAAAAACAGACGCATTCTCAATGATAAATTAGCCCAACGCTGACGCGGTGTCGGAAATTTATTTCGCGTCCGTGACCTTGACCGTGTGGCGAAGGATATTTCACTGGCGTTTATTTTCAGATCGGGAGAATCCTCACGTTGTCGCCGTCGCAAATAAATTTTCGCATTGTCACAATTGCGATAATGAGACGAGCAAATAAGCCATGGCGCGCGGGACCTTGCGATTAACTCTTAAGGTGAAATGTAGTCCATGGTCATGGTTCGCGATGCACCGTTTCGCGAAATTGAAAAAGTAAAGCGGTCGATAGCCGTACGCGATGCGCCGTAAAGGCAATCCAGGGTTAGTATCGAGGACGTCACTTTAAGGCGAATCTTGTCTCACCATTCGTTTGGTGTATCGACTTCAGAATTTAAGACCTTATGATTCTTCAGAAGTTAGGAATTAGGATTGCATTCCAAAACGTTCTTTTTGAGGACAATTTTACTGAAGATTTATAATTCACGTTACATATGTTATGGATCTTCAGTAAAATTGTCCTCAAAAAGGACATTTTGAAGTAAAATCTAGTATTCGACGGAAAATCCAAAATTTAAGAAATTTTATCAATTCTATTTAATTCTAAATATATAGACGTCGCAGTTTCGAAAGGTTGATGTTTATCGAATTTCTCAGCGCGGCGTCAGGATTGATTTTAAAGGACCATATTAATAGTTGTGACCTGTAACTTGTCTCAGTAAAATATTTAGACTTTTATTCGAAGCTAGATATAAATTTTCCCTAATTGAATTATATGATATTTATATCTGTCATTACGGTTCAAATGAAACACTCTTATTCAAATCAGGATTTAATTTCGAGTATTCCGCTTGAGACGAGTTTCAAGTAATAACTATTAATACAAGCTTAAGACCCCTATTTAATAGTTGTTACTTAAAACTTCAGGTGAAATACCCAGACTGGAATTTAGAGTCAGATGTAAATTTCTCAGCTAAATCGCGATCATAACTATAATATTATATGGTATAAATAAAAAGAATTCAAATCTAACTTTAAATTTATATATGAATATTTCATATGGGAAAATTCCAAGTAAGGACTATTAATATGGACCCAAGATAGTAAGACTCGAGAATAATATTCTTGAACGCGAATTCGGGAATTCGCGGCTCTCATGTGCTCGCGACGACTTTGATGTCGCTCATACGACGATAATCTATAAGCGCACTCTTTGCGTAAACGTCGATGAAATGTAGTTCAGGGGTAAAGCAATACCCGCGTAATGCGCTCGAGAGAGACAGCTAACAATGACACTGCTTGAGATAGGTTCTGTTTATTGCTGAAATTTATACCGGTCGCTGAGCAAGTGCTGTTCGAGCTGCAAGGCCGCCTGTCTCGAACACACTTCAAAGAAGAAGGGTATAAGTTGTAATATCAATTCTATACAGACGTTCCAGCGTTCGAGCGCAGCGTCAGTGCTCGTAACGAGAAGCAAACGAATTTCGGGCTAATCTCGTTGCGAATGTACGTGTGTTCACCGGATTACATCGCCGGGCGATTGAGAGTCGTTTGATATTCGGGCGCAGATTCGGGTTATTCCCTGCTCATATCGTCCTCGAGTACCGCAGATCTTGTCGGAATGCAAGAAATTCTCGTCTCTCTCTCGTCGAGATTGCTGCTCGATGCATTCATGTGAACTGTTCCGCGTAAAATGCAGTAAAGTTATATAAATGCGTTATATATAAGAAGGGAGAAAGCGTTCTGTATAATATAAGGAATCTCAAATATCTAATTTTGCACTGAGCAATTTGAAACAACGATTTGCCGCGGACTGCTCCCGTAATTTACGTTTGATATTCGTAGCGATAGATTGCAATGGAGCAAGGGAATTCCTCGTCCGCGGCCGAAATGGACGCTAATTAAACTTCAACTGCCAATTAAACTTTCTACCCTTTCTGACTGTAATTATACATTTTCCGTTATACTGTTCCACAGAAATAAGAATATTTCATATGCGCAGCACATATGTACGGAGAAAAGAAATTTCCAATTCGCACAACTGAATGCCAGACATACCAGACGAA